CTTCATGTGGGTCCCTGGATTCTAACTCAGGCCACCAGGCTTGCATGGTCAGCACCTTTCCCCACTCAGCCATCTCTCTAGCCCACATCATTTAAACAATGTAACTTAGAAACCTCCTTAATCATATATGAGGCCTTTGTGCAGACACTTAGATACCCATGTCTTGTATATGTATTGTTTTCCCTCTCCCTCCTTCACCCCTCTCTCACAACACACAGGCACACACACACACACACACACACACACACACACACACACACACACACACACACCAATGTCTCTGTCTCTGTTCTGGTATAAAGATGCAGGTTTTTATAGGTTCTTAAGAAAGACGAGTCTTATAGGTTCCCAAGAAGGATATTCCGGGCTGGAGAGATGGCCCACCGGTTAAGAAAGCATACTGTCCTTCCAGGGGACCTGGGTTCAGATCCCAGCACTCACACTGGGTAGCTTACAACTACCTCTAACAAGTTCCAGGGGAGTCAACATTATCTTCTCATCTCCACAGCCCACACCTGGTGCACATACAGACATTCAGGCACACACCTACAAGTAAATAAAAAAGAAATCTTTTCTTTTTTAAAGAAAAAAAGATGTCTAGGTATTCTTTGAACACATGTGTAGTAGGGTATGTAAAAGCATGATGCCCTTACCATATTAAAATAATGGGTATATACAACTTTTAGTCAACCCTAGATGTGTTCTACCTGCATTTTGCACTGGGAATTTTCAAAGGAACAAGGGGCTCCAGTTGAAAAAACCAGGTGAGTGCTTATTTAAGAAACTCACAGAATAGAATTTATGGTGGTCACTTTCCTTCACTTAGTCATTATTTTGCATTTCTGAAACTATTTTCTCTTCGGAGCTTAATGTGTTTGAGACCAAACTGATATCAATATGTATACGAGGAAGTGAGATTTGACAAATAAAACTTTGTTTTGGAAATTAAGCCATGCTCAGGCTTCCTTCCCGTCCAAAATTTGAACTAAAACCCTGGAAATGAAAACAATTTCTAGAGCCTATCACTGCCCTGATCCTAAATTCTTCCTGAGTTGTGAAGTGGAAAATTAAATGGTTTTTGTTGGAAAACTCCCTGTTCAATGGCTCCAGGTCAGTGTTCAGATGACGTCAGAAATGGTACATTTTTTCCCAATTATGAAATGAATTATGGGGAGCTAGCTAACCACATGTAGTCATTAAATAAAACTATTTTGGCTGATACATTGTTGGTCTGCCAGAAAACACAGGTGTTTTGTTCTTGAGGATTTTTTTTAAGCAGTTGCTTTAAGGAATGATTGCATTGACAGTGCCTCAGTGTGAGCCATGGAGTAGGGCAAGCAAGAAGGTGTGATTTGTGGAGAATTTGTGTGACAGGGCAGAGACTGCTTTCACACAGTAAATAAAGAGTTGCTTTATGCACAAAGAACCAAAGCATGAGGTTATACTGTGTAGACGGAGACATATCACCGCTCAGTGGAACACAGGTACACGTGAAGACGTAAGAGTAGAATGAAAGACTCTTTATAGTGTGAAGTGTTATTATTATCAAGTTCATGGACTGAGCTTTGGCAAATGATTTTGGGTCATTCTTTTTATTGCCAAAGACTTCGTTTGTGTGCTCTAAAACTGATTCAAATCTATCAACAATTGCCAAGGTCGGATGGTGTCTCATTTGAAAGCAATGTCTTGAAAAAGCAATAAGAAGAAAACTTCTCAATTTATGCAACTGTCCAACAATTTTTGAGTTTTCAGTTAACAGCCTTACATTCATCACTTTCCCAGTCTACCTTCGTCCACTCAAACATCTCTAACCGGTTTCTGAGGGAAGCAGCTGCTGTCAGCTGACTCATCTAAGGAATTTGGTTATCTCATCCAAACTGTGACATCTTGGATCATGCATCAATGGCATGCTTATTCGAAGAAGCAGTTTTCTGTTTCAGAATGACTGTTTTCCTCTGTGTGTGCAAAGGAGCATAAATCACAATTGTATATAACCCTCAGAACTAAAAATATTATGCATAGTCAATTTCTCACCAGAGGATGCTTTAAAAGAACAATAGCTCTATTGACTGAGTACCTTAAAAAGCTGTACTTGGAAATTTACGTTGAGAAGACTGGAGACACAGTTCAGGGATGGAGGACCACCTAGGGTAACTGAGACCCTAGGAGCAATCCCCAGTACTGCAAAAATAAATGAAAGGAAATATATGTTAGGGTGTCTATGTTGAAAACACTGTTCTAAAATATTCTAAATTTGATTACTAACACCTGGGTGGCACACATTTTATTTCTGACTTCCTAAATGCTTTCTTATTGAAGGTTATGCACTGAAGTCTACTTCATTAGGAAATTCTCCTCTCCCCTAAATTATTTTGGATACCTCATTTTCTGGATGCTGGTGTATTGCAGGATCACGACTTAGATTATCAAGAATGCCTAAAAACTACATTATAGTCAATGGCATTGCTAAAATTTAGCCACTATTTGTTCCCACACGTGGAGTCCATCTGCGTACAAAAACCTCTAGCTCTGAAAGAATGCTATGAAACAACTCCTGCCTTGATAAGATTAGATACCTCTGTAATCGTCTGGAAGACTGAGCTATGAATTAGCTATAGTCTAACTACATGTTTTGGGTTATTTATGTAGAATGAAAGAGCTCAGATCAGCCACCAGATGAGACGCTACACTGAAAGAAAACAACACAGAAGAATATTTCTACAGAGAGGAAAATACATCTGTGAACACATGGCTGTTGTATGTCATCTTATTCTTTCTCATTTGAATACAGCTACTCCTATCATCAAACATAATTGAGGGATGTATTATTAAAAAGTGCACTTAAATAAAACATTAGTTTAATAAAAATTATGTAATTGTATGCATATGCATACATTCTATATAATAGTTTTGTTTTAAAACAGGATGGTTGGCCTGGGACTCTCTTTGTAGATGAGGCTGGCCTTGAATTCAGAGACCCACTTACGGTTGCCTCCTGAATGCTGGGATTAAGGTGTGCACCACCATACCAGACCTAATTATATAATAGATACAGAACAAGAATACACACACAAATGTAACGCCTCCCATGGGTACTTGGAGACCGTGGGAGCTCAGGGAGACTTCTTTAGCCTCAAACCATCGAGGTGGAATGTGCATGTAAGAAGTTGTACATAAGGTAGGATTTCCTGGACTTCTCACCTGTGATACCTGCAGTTTTGTTTCCAGATAGAGGACTCTTCTCCTCCACAATCTATACACCTTAGCTAAGCAACAGGGACTGGAGTTCCATTTCTTCTGCCCAGTGACCACAGTCTCTGTGCCCTGATGCCCCGGCTGAGGGGATAGAAAGAGGCTGAAATAAAGATCCAGAAAGCTGAGGAGCTGTGGGGCAGTGACCAGATGTCCTTCTAAAAAGGCTATGGAAATAAATCTGAAGGAGGGCAGCATGATCTGATTTTCGAAAGATAAGATTCTTGATATTTCCTTCCAAGCCTCGCTTTGAAACTTTAACCCCTCACAGGAGCTCTAGATACTAACTCACTAAGCACAACCCTTTGAACTTATGATACCAAAGAAGCATCATATATTTGCTTACATGCTTTGTAACAGGCTGGGAATCTTGTTCAGTTGGTAGAGTGATTGCCTAACATTCGTGAAACCTTGCGTTCTAGAGTATTTGAAGAAATACATTTTTATGGATTTTCTTATCAATCATTAAATAATTTAAAGGGGGAGTTTAAACGTTAAAAAATGAGTCTAAAGAGATAACTAAGTTGGTAAAGAGCTTGCCATACAGGGCTGAGGACTTGAGTTCAGCTCTCTAGTATCCACGGACATACACCAACATGATAACTTGGGTCTGTCATCCCAGTGCTGGGGAGGCAGATGGGAATATCCCTGGGGCTCACTGTCCGCTAGTGCAGCCCCATCAGCAAGCTCCAAGTTCAGGAAAAGAACCTGTTTCAAAACCTAATGGGTGGAGAGCTACCGAAGAAGACAATGATAACTTCCGGCCTCCACACGCACGCACGCACGCACGCACGCACATATGCACACAAACACACATGTGTACATGCACAGAATGAAAATATGACAAGCCACCCAATGATTTTCCAAAGCAGTTTACAATCTACTTTATTTTCAATGTCTGTTACTGGAATAGGCTATAAAACTGCGTCTCAAAATCCTGGCAAAGCACCATGTTAAGGGTTCCCTGGGGTCTTACCGACATTTCCCTTTATACACTCTTGCCAATTATACTTCTCCTCAGATGACACCCAGTCATTGTCAGTCTCCACACAGGAATAAAATCATACAAGACTCAAGACAAATGTTCCCCAGCATCTTGAGGACTGTCCCAAAGGCTCATCTTCAGGCACATTGTTCACATGAGAGCACACTCCTTGCTTGAAACCTCATGTTGACAATCGAAGGCATTCATTCCTCTGAAATTTCACTGGCCTACCTCTCCCTATACTTTCTTTTGCTTCTTTTTCTTCTCTTTTATCTTTTTTTTTCAAGAAGAAACATGCATAAGGCTCATCACTGGTCAGAGAGAAGCCTGGGAGGGGGGGAATGTCTACATTTCACAGGAATTCTTTTTCTGATCAGAAAATCTTGGGTGAACATTTCCTGACAGAATTGGCCAGGAGTCCCAGCAAATTTACTGTGCTTGCCTTTGGTCTTGTCAAGACACTGCCAAAAGGGAAGTGGTAACAGAACTCCTGAAGTCCCAGAAGAGTGGTTATAAGTAGGCATTTCTGGGCTCTGTGTCACATACTGGCAGGATGAGGCTGGTGGGATAGCCTCCCTCAGCCTCTTCCATCGTTCCACACCCAGATCCATGAAAATCACTGTGGGGCACGTTCCTGTGCACAGACCACAGACCACAGGAAAGGAGGTTTTGTGCCTTAATTACATTGATATATTTTCTAAAAATATGTTCATCATTGCATTCCCTTAAGTAGGCTAGAGTTTATTAAAACACTACTTGCTGGTTTTTTGTTTTTTTGTTTTTTTGGTTTTTTTTTTTTTTTGGTTTTTGGTTTTTGTTTTGGTCTGGTTTTAGAAGTAATGATTGCTTAATTTTAGAGAAAGCTCCAAAATCTTAAGAAAGAAAATGAAAATCACGTATATTCTGCCTAACAGACACAATCAATATTAACATTTTTGATTATTTCCTTTCAACTGTGAAACAGAAAAGAGAAAGTTACCACAATTGGGATTGCATTGTGTTGCGTATGTACTTTTCTGTCTTTTCCCATTTAACATGCTATCATTTGCTTAACATCTGTCGTCTTCTGTGTTCTGTTGCTTTGTCAAGAAACCCAAGACGAGGTAGCTGGTTCAGAATAGAGCTTGTGTGGCTCACAGTTCTGGAAGTGGAGGAGTCCAAGAGCACAGGGCCAGCATCTGTTTAGCATCTGGCGAGGGTGTCCTTGCTGTACTATAATAGAGAAGAGAGCATCCACATTAGTTACTTTTCTCGTCGTTTTGACAAATTCCTAGTGGAATCAACTTAAGGCCCACAGTTCAAAGAATAGCGTTCATCATGGAAAGAAAGGCATTTAGTGGGAGCAGCTCATAGCTATGGTTTCAGGAATTGGAGCCGTGGGGAGGGGGCAGGCAGTACTGAGGTGACTTTCTGTTTTTTCTTTTATTCACTGTAAGACTTAAGTCCATGGAAAGGTGCCACCCACATCCAGGGCAGCAAGGAAAGTCCCAACCAAAGTCATATCTGAACCCCGGCAGAGAAACCACCAAAGCCTGCACCATGTCCAGCATCTGGAGCCTGTGGAGACCTCATCTATAGCCCCAGCTCTCCAGCTCTGCTGTCTGCAGCATGTGTAGCCGCTCTCTGCAACTGGCTCCCCTCTGTGCCTGTAGCTTTCCTGGTGGGTGTGGCACAGTCCAGGCATCTCAAGCATCCTGGGGATTCTACTCAAACTTCCCCTTCATTGCTTCATGAAGTGGCTTCGTACGGCTGACTTCCTTGCAATGAATCCAACCCTGACACACATTTGGGTGGCTGCAGCAGCTTTTTCAAGTCTGGGTATAAACTATGAGTCTTTAACTTGGGCCTGGTGCATGCCTTTAACCCCAGCACTCGGGAGGCAGAGGCAGGTAGATATCTGTGAGTTTGAGGCCAGCCTGGTCTACAGAGTAAGTTCCAGGGCAGCTAGGGTTGTTACACAGAGAAACCCTATCTTGAAAACCCAAAAAAAGAAAAACAAAGTCTTCAACTTGCATTTTTTTACACCTGCAAAATGACCACTGCATAAACACTACTGCTAAATTCTGCCACTAGTTCTAAATATAGCCTGGCCACTTCTGCTGTAGCAGTGGTTCAACTATTGAATGAACTTGTAGACTTTCGGCATCAAATTGTCATTTCTAAGACACCCAGCACTTTAGACTGAGCAATTTTCAGGTTTTTGCAACATTCAAGTGGCCAGTGTTGAATTACCTGACCCCCTATTGTGTAAGCCAATCTAAAAATTATCTTTTATTATATATATTATATATACATATCTCCTTTAAATATATATGTAAATACACATATACATAATAAAAGGGGATATATAATAGATATAGAATACTATATAATATATTATACCATATAATGCCATATAATATAATAATAGATACATAAAACATTACATGTAATATATATATATATATATATATATATTCAAAGGGGATTTATTTATTCACTTTTGGTTCTGTTTTTCTAGAGAACACTGCCTAATACAATGTTGCATGTTGAGAAAGAGCAAGCATGCCAGCTGAAGTCTCTCTTTCTCTTCTCATAAGATTGTTAAGGCTGTAATGGTAGCCCTGCCTGCCTGACCTTATATAACCCTAATTATTTCCCAAAGGCCCTGCATCCAAATACATTATTAACATGCAAATCTAGGCTTTTAATTTTCCAACAGGTGAACTTTACAGAAAGGACACATTCAAATCATAACAATATTCACCATTTGCTAATGAATGACTACAAATCAGAATCACATGACCCTTGAATAGTATGAACATTTTCTGATGATACAAACACTCTTTAAATATTATTTTTAAAGATTCAGGTTTTTAACCTGCGACTGTGGCTATAAAGCCATCATCACTAACATGTGCATCACCTGTAAGAGTTTGTTTTTGCTGTAGTTGTTGCTGTGCATGTGTGTGTGTGTGTGTGTGTGTGTGTGTGTGAGTGTGTGTGTG